AATACTTTTTCCCTGTGCCATTCCACATTATTACAAATAACTTCATTTCTGGACTTTATGGTTTGATTTCTTTGTATGTATGGATCACTTGGGTTGTTGACGACATCTGGTGAAAATTTCATGTCATTAGCACCTCTAGTAATATATTTACTGAGAAAAATGGTGACGTGTTCAAAACTTTTTTACCCGCTCTATATACATATTTTTTTATTATTTTATCTACCATCAATTTAAAAGCAGAAGAATCATTAGACAAGTTGACATACAGAAACAGACACTCAGTTTTCCAGATGATTTCCTACTATTGACCTTTCGTGTTTGTTTAAAAAATTTACCTCTGCAAAAGCTCCATCTTTGAAAATTTAGTCATTTCATTATTCATATTATTTCAAATCTTTGTATCAGATCAAGACAGCTGCAAGACTCATTGATAAACTGAATGCAAGGTACTACTTTTTTTTTCAGTCCAAGTTAATAAAAAGGTTTGACTGGGTAAAAAAAAGCTGACCTCTTGGCAAAGAACAGAAATTAATCTCTTGCCCAACAAAATACTCCCCTGTACCTGTCCAACCACTGCATTGTGGTGGGCAGGCATAAATCAGCTGCAAATGTAATATTTTTTTCACCTTCTGAACTGTTTACTTACTCACAATAGAGGTGAAATTTATGTGGCTGTCAAGAGAAATGTTCCTGAATGTGCTGCAGTCAGAGCCACACTGGACATGTTAACTCAGTGACAACACAATAACGTTGACCTAGCCTCCAATCACAGGGTAATATGATATGTAGATCCATCAATCTTAGTAAAATTAAGTTGTTTTTTTTTTACATAATACACCGGCCAGGCCACACTAATCTGTGTTTCTATTCTTAATACAGCTGCAACCCAGACAGAATGGAAGAAAGTTTCATCTCCCCCGCAAGTATGAAATGAATCACTCAGTGAGAGGTGAACGGGGGTAAAAGAGAGGGTCAAGGCTCAGTAAAGAGATTAAAGAGATGCCCCAGGCTCAGTTCCAGCGTTGTGGACAAGGTGATGTCACCACAGGCTTGAGACAGGGATCTCCCAACGAGATAGGAAAGGAAGAGAGGAGAGATAGAGGGAGAGAGACGGAGGGTGTTGAAAAAGAATTTGAAGGGAGGAGAGCAGGAGGAAGAGAACAGGGGGCCGAGAGGAAAAGTAATAAGAAACCGAGTTACACACATGGAGCAAGCAGAGGGAGGGCGAGAAAGACACTGGGGAGGTAGACTGTGAAGCGGCAGGAGGAGGAAGAGGGGAGGAGAAAGTTAGACACGGACAATCCTGGAGCAACTTTTCTCTTTTCTTTTCTTTGCAGAGGAGGTCTCAGGGTGTAAAAAAGTCAGGGGGACAAAAGGGGACTTTGGAATGTAATAAAACCTGAAGATTTTCTGTCTGACACATGAGTTTACGGATTAATGTGATCAAAACAGTTTGTGGATCAAACAGCAGTTGAAGGTAAGTTTTAAAGCTGGATAAACTGCATGGGAAAGTTTAGGGAGGGTTTGGTTTTGACACAAGTGAAGTGATAAAAGTTTTGCAGGACGATGCAACAACCTAAAAGGTCTTCATGCTGCACTTTGCAGAGATAAAATGGACATGTCAAACAAAAAATGTCCACATAAACCATCCAAACTCAATCTGAACTTCTAGTTTGAGGCAATATAAACTCACTTGTTTCCCAGTGGAGACAATTATCTCCTCAGTGGTCCTAACAAATGGCACTCGTGGCTGCTTATTGGATTTTTACAATCAACTCTTGAACCATTTTAATAGTTCGGATAGCTGCTGGCAAAAAGTGATACTGATTTCCTCTTTTTATCTATGCCAGCTAGGCCTGGACACAACTCATGCTTAGTTGTTACTGTAAATCATTCTGGCTTGCTTTCAAAGCCTGTGGCATAGAAAAAGTGCCCAAACATCTCTATTTTCCTTTTAGATCATGGAGATTCTTTGTAGTTGTGCCTGAGCGAAGCGCTGCACAAATTTGAAATCAACCTCCAAAATTTTACTCCTTTCTTCTAATTTGGATAGGAATGGAAAGCCATTGGAGGATGCTTGGATGCCACATCTGCTTTCCTCATTAGCAAGCCATCCCAGAGTTTTTTGGACCCTTTGCATCCTGTGTGTGTCAGGAACACAGACGCACATGAAAACCCCCCCTTTGGCTCCAGCCAGTTCTGTTTTAGACGTGATCACCTGCAGTAAGCAAATGGTATATAAATATGCAACTTTTCTCTCTTCAGATCTTTATCAAAGCAGCTTCAAATTAAAAGAGCAATAAACGCTGCTCATTGGAGTAGTTTATGGCTAACAGTGTAACATCATCACCCTCAAACTCAAGACTGTACCATGGCCCTGCAGATATTTTTTTTAATTTATTATTATTGTTTTTTTTTTATATCTACTTAACTCTACTCATTTGAGTCAGTTCTGAACAGAACATTAAGCATTGGGAATGTAAATTAAAGTGGAAGACAGGCAGCAGGTCCTTCGTCCAGGCTGAGCATACCATGCGTGACATTGGCTCAGGCCCAACTAGGTCATGTCATCAGCGTTGGCCTCACTTTGCATCATCACTTTGGCAACTTTGGACCAAAGGTGTTCAAGGCGTCAGGACTTACAAAGGTAGCCTTGAGCAGATATCTGGGAAGATGAATGGGTTCCACATTTTCAACTTCTACTGACCTGTTTTTTCACTCAGAAGGTTTCAAGTAAAGGTGTTGAAAATCACCTAGAAGGTAAGACTAGTGAAAACTTGCCTCATTCCATCTCTTGAGTGTCAAAAAGATTTGGGTTATTACCTTTTTCTAGTTCCTGCTGCTTTAAGTCAGTGGATATCTTCTCTGTCTGTGAAAGATTTGAGGGTATTTTTACTTACTTTTTTATGCTTATAAGTACTCTTTTGAAACAAACTTGCAATGCACCCAACTGTTTTGCCTGAAGCCTGTTCAGAGTTTTTAAATTCAGAGTTTGAATATATGCATTGCTGCTTTTGAAGCAAAATAAACTCAGTGAGTGTCTGAAGGGCACCATTAAGTGAACAGATTATGCCAGTATGACCATATCGTGTTCAACGCGTCAATCCATAACACCAAAAGTCTCCATTATTGTTTTTAATCTTGTGGAGATCAATGTGAGAATAGAGTGGCACCAAATTTGGCACATATGTCTGTGGTTCCTGGAACATGGGTCCCTCTGACTTTAATTATGTATTTTCTTCCTCTTTGACACAACCCATAACCACAAATGAGAACCTTATGGTTAAGAGTCTTTATAACAAAGCAGAATGTACTTTAATGACATTCAGTGCAGTGGTAATTCTCTCTCTAACTTAAATTCAGTCAAATTTACTTAAAGTTATAATGCAGTATAACACAAAATAATGTAAATTTCAGACTCCTGGAAGATAACTGGTTCTACCAAATTTTCATCATCTATAGCTTACCAAAGTACGTTTGCAAAAAACAAACAAAAAAAAACTTTTTTTGAAAGAATTCATGTCACCTGCCTCTTCATATGTATAAAACAAAGATCTTGTGTGAACTGATCACTCAAAGTATGTGTCAAGAATGACTCAGCTGACACCACATTTCAACTCAGGGTCTATACAACTGACTAAGTTGTAGCCATCTTTGTATTTCACAAATTTAGTTAGCTGTGGAAGCCATCTTGAATTGGGCTGGATATGAAAGTTAATTGGCTGTCCACCCACTAGCTGTGTCTCAATACAGGGTTTGAAGCCTATGCAGGCCCCACCCCCCATAAGATGTAGGCTATCCATGTGGGCTGAATAAATTGGCTGTGAAATTACTCTAGTCTTTGGATGAAGTATGTTTGCATGACCACGTGTTGCCCCATTATCATAACGAACCATTTTATATTTTTCATGGGAGGTATGACAACACAAAAATAAGTATTATTAAAAAAGTTACATATAGATAAATTAAAAAAAGGGTTTAGCTCTAGTATCAGTACTTGATTGCATTTTATATAACAACTCATTTGCAGCAAAATTTTCATCTAAACAAATAAATGCACTAAATAAAACTTTATTTTGGGGATTTTTTGGGCCACATTTGTCGACCGTATAAGTAGGTGCCTACAAATTGGGACAGCCTATGGCTATGCAGTGACGTGAGCAGCGTGGGCTGCAATTCCTGCATTGTGACACAGCAAATCATTTCTTACTGTGAGATTCATTAAAATATGTCTATTATTTTATAAGATATTTGGCTAATGGAGAGACAGAGTTTCCCAAATAGTTAGGAAGATCTTGTGTAATCTCTTGAATTTCATACTACTGTATGTGCCAGGGATGACTCTCAGCTTCTACCACACCAAATTTGAGCTCAGTACACAATTGAATTAGCCTGGCCCTTGCCTTCCTATGCAGCTCCGCTCAATTCTAGTTTCCCTTCTCTGCTCCGTCTGGGACTTCTCCCATTGACAAGGATTTCGCTGGCAGATTTTTAGCCGGGCCAATCAGAGAACAGAACGTCAATTTTCTGCGCAGAGTCCGCTTGTAGTTTATTTTACCTGGGCCAATCAGCAGCAAACAGAAAGCAAAGTTTTGAATGACATCGATGTTCTGCGCAGTGTCTGCTAGTTAGTTTAGCATACGGCAGTGGAGGAAGTGAATGAAGCCAGTCTGTGTTGATAAGGCTTCCAAATCAAATTAAATTTCTCTGAGAAAGCAGCAGCTCTCATTTACAGTCGTCTCGTTTGGCTCGGTATATTTCTCCTCTCAGTAGGGTTGTTTACAGCACACGCAATTTCCGGTTAGCTTCTTAGCTTAGCCTCCATCACAGCGACATACGTCGCAGCCAACTGATCCAATCATTTTAAACTTCAGCAGAGGCCACGCCTCCTGCAAGAAACCCTTTTCTATGCAGCAAGTCCAGACCCTTGCAGTGTTGCCAACTTAGCAACTTTGTCACTTGATCTAGTGACTTTTTAGACCCCTTTAGCGACTTTTTGTTGAAAAAAGTCGCTAGATTAGATTTGTCCAACAAATCTAGCACCGGTGTTTTTAGAGACTTTTAGGAGCTTTGCTGACAGCATTTTCCAAGCACTTTTTTTCCTTTCCTCCTCTGTTCCTCCACAAGCAGCGAGCGTGGAGGTGAGCCCCTCCCCCTTCCTAAAGCTGTCCGACTCACTGAAGCCTCTTGCAGCACCCCCAACCCTACCCCCAGCCTCAGCTGAAGTCAGCTGAGAGGAGAGACGGCTGCAAATGAATCACGCTTGCGCAAAGCTGTCACTGCTTATATGTGGTTTACAAAGCGGGATGTAATATTTATTTTAATGTTTTTCTCTGGTACTGTCTCTAAACTAAATCTCTGGACCCAGCTGTGTTTGACTCACAGATCAGTCACTTCACCTCTTCCTCCCTGTGCCTCGTGACATCAAACTGTCTGCAGATTAAATTTAAGATTCCCACAAATTTAATTTATGTAGATCTAAGCAATGAAGTCATAAAATTATTTTTATTTCATTAAGTTTAATTGCAGTTCTAAACATATTTGTTGCTTTTATTCACTTTTTTGTTTTCATCATCTCTCTTATAGCTCAGATCACAATTATTGGCAAACATCCAACTGTGCAAATTAAGTGATGATGTCATCTAGCGACTTCTAGCGACTTTTAGGACAGCCAATAGGGACTTTTCTTGCTCAGGAGTTGGCAACACTGGAACCTTGTACGAAGCAAAGTGAAGGGCAGGGTCTGGTTTAAACCAGGCTACAATTGAATGGGTTCTAGCAATAATAGTGCTTGCTATGCTTAAAAAGCTGTGTGACCTTAAATTTTTGTTGACTTTAAAAGTTAATTAGATGTACATGAAAAACTAGTGATTACTTTCCAGGAATTTTATCAACGCCAATCCGTAGTCAGTAGTTGATTAAACAAGTTACACTCAGAGGTAAATTGCATTGACAAAGTTTATCTGTGATAATGCATTAAAACATATTTCACTAAATCAGTGGATCTTGTAACAGCTAACAGCTGACTTGTGTTTCTAGCAGACACTTTTTCTCAGAGACCAAAGATGCATCAGGGTCATCCAGTGCACAGACACTCCGTATGAGAAAACTAGAGTGCAGAGTTGGTAAGAGTGTGAAATAGGGAGCTGTAACTTGTTCCACCGTAGACAAAACACCCCGGCTTCGCTCTGCATACATCTTCATGCATCAGTTCACTTGGCACATAGTTAGAGCACTTAGAGGTTAACTAGGTTACATAGCCACCGTCCTTGTGGGCAATCTCAACTTTGCATATTGCAAATGGTGTATAAGTATTTAAAAATATCTCACTTTTATATGTAAAACATATTTCTGAGACTAACCCAGTGGATGTGATCAAGCATTATGTTAAGAAGCAGCATCTCAAGCTGTATGGCCCAAGTTAAAATGAACAGAGCTGTAATATGGAGAACACATTATCTTCTCCCCAGAGATTAC